GAAGTTTGCTTCTGGATAAGGAGTTTAGAAATCTCTCTTTATCAAGCTTTTTGGGCTAACTGTGAATGAGATAGCTTTTGTGATTGCTTCGTTGTGTTGTTGTATCTCTTCTTCTTCTCTCCAGTCTTCCAAGGATGCTATTTATAGCTGGATTGGATAATCTATCCGTTGAATCATAATAGACTATCCGTTGCATTTGCTGGCTTCAATTTTGAATGAAGATTGTGATTTGAAGATTCTCTGTTGACGTGGGCATTTGGACGTACCCAAATGTTGAGAAAGGATTCCTTTTTCCACAAAATCCGTCTTCTAGCTTTTGTTCAAGAATTCAAGACTGTAGCACTTTACTCTGTTTGTCTTCTAGTGCTTGTTTAGGAATTCTGGGCAGGCTCTTTAATTTTAGATGCCCAGACTTTGTCTTCGAGCAATTTGTTCTTGAATCAGCATAATTATCTTCAATCTAGCCGTTGAAAATCAAGAGATTGATTTTTCCTTGCCAACGGTTAGAGTTTTCTTCATTCAGGACTTAGATAAATTTTCTAAGTCTTTTCTCACTTGTCCGCTTTATGAGACTTCTGGTCTTCAGTGAGTCTTCCGATTCTTAGCTGACAAATCCGGATGAGTCATTTTCAGACTTCCGGATGAGAAAGAGATCCGCACTAGTCTTCCGATTAGCCTTCAGCGGGTTGTAGCGAGACATCCGGTTCTTATGTAGTCTTCCGGATCTGAGAATTTTCATCTGATTGAGAAATCCTTACTTGTTTCTGATACTTCCGATCAATATATCCAATTTTCATATCACTGAATTTGATTAAGTCTTCAGGCATCAAAACGCTTAAAGAGATATCACAGTTTTATTGGAAATCTCAAGAGCTTGGTTTTGACAATATTTCTAAAAAGAAAAATTACATTGAATATTGGGGGAGGCTTAAAGTCCCTAATACATTCTAAATACATCATCATCAAAATCTATAATATTTTTCCCAACAGCCGTCACTACGGCCATGCACCGGGAATTTCGACTTAAGGATCTTGGCCCGCTCCACTTCTTTCTTGGGATCGAGGTTCGGTGCACACCTACTACTATCTTCATCAATCAGGCCAAATATGCAGCCGAGCTCATTGACCGTGCGGGCATGAACGACTGCAAAACAGCACCGACCCCCAAGGCAGCTCGGCCGGCCGAGGGGCCCCCGGTCCCATTCGAGAATCCCACCTTATACCGAAGCTTGGTTGGCGGCCTTCATTATCTTGCTAACACTCGCCCTGACATACAGTATGCTGTGAACCGTGTCTCTCAAACTATGCACAATCCCTCCACTCAGAACTTCCTGGCCTTACAACGCATTCTACGCTATCTTAAGGGGACTCTTCAGCAGGGTATTCTCTTCACAAAAGGGGATATGGCGATCTCTGTCTATTCTGATTCAGACTGGGCGTCCGACAAAGATGATAGGCGTTCCACCACTGGTTACATGATTTTCTTTGGGTCCAACCTCATCTCCTGGTGCACGAAAAAGCA